CACATTGCAGTCACCGCGTTTCTCTGGTTTTATCTCATCTTGACTTATTTCCAGTCATCGCATTGTTAAGACAAAACGAGACAAGGGGACAGCGTGAAACCTGCAGCTCCAACCAAAAATTGATTGTAGAATGCATGCACTTACACAAGCCCTACAAGACCCTTTTGAGGCCTGACTACGTCCTTTGTAAAGGTCTATACACACAATACGACTTGTAAATAGTGGTTTTATTAACGAGCAAAGGAAAGCTACCTAACACCTCTCGCAATTCTTCATATTTTTGAAGTCATCGATCGCGTCTGCCTCGTTTTATTTCATTGAAGATTTTATTTCTGGTCATCTCACTCACTTACAAATAAACCTCGCTTCACAGACAGCTTATCATTGTCTGATGCAAGGACGATATATTGCAATAATTATCTAACATAAAGTATGATATCATTAGAGTCGAGCTATAAAACGCTTACAGTTTCATTATACATTTTGGTTTATTCAACTTTGCAGGCGTTTTTAACAAAATATCTAGACTTGTAAACTATTACTTGTAAACATGAATTTGCTTTTAATTTGAAGAAATTAGACGGGAATTGGCTGTAAATTGAAATGTGATTCAGTGTGGTTCTAATCTGCCGAATCTAAACCGAGAGCGCTACGCCGCTAGCTTGGGGCAACAATCAGGCTTTAACATACCGTGAAGAAAGCCTGGGAAACAAAACAAAACAAAACAAAACAAAACAACAGCAGTCGCTTCAAAACAATTATACTTTACCCAAGGTCTACATGAATGCGTTATACAATATATAAATTCATGCTTCGATAAATAAAACTCCATGAATGCATGAATGTATTAAATGAATATAAACAAGCCCATGAAGCTCCATATAACTTTAATTTTATTTTTCATTCCATAGAATACAATCCATTTATTTGTAAAAGAATTCATATATAATTTCACTGAACTAACAAATGCAATGAGCAACATCAGTAAAATATATCATGCATATATAGAACAAAAGGAACAGTTTTTGACCAGGATGAAACTGAGCAAGCTATATAATTGTATGATAGAAAAAAAAATTCCTACCTTAGCTGGCTTGGTTATTCTTTCAGAGGCAGAATATATAATAATGTCTTCTTCAAAACCGATATCTGCTATACAAGATGTAGCAAAGCAGCTGTATTTCTGAGTGGACTATATACGTGCGGCTACATATAGACACGTCCTTCAGATGAAGAGCGTTTGAAAATATTCTTATTGATTTTACCGGTTTTTATGACATTGCTTTAGGAACGCACTTAAATGTATCTACAAAGGAAGAAATTAAACGTTTTAACCGCCAGCAGAGGAGAATATAAATACGCGTGCTGTTTTTGTAGTTAAAGACTAAAGTAATATAAAAACCACATGAAAAAATGAAATTATTTAATTTAGTTACACGATAATTACTATAATGTTCGAAAATTGCGATTTTATTAACAATATAGCAAAGAAATAAAAATAATTTAAAATTTGCAGCTGTCGCAATGAAATTCATCTCATACATGCACTTGTAAAGGCGTATTCACACAATACGATTAGTGCCTCTTTCTCGACATAAATTATCAGCAAATCTGCTTAGAATCAGGTTATTAACCCTAGACCCGACTGGCAGCTGCTCATAGGCGTGCAGGGGGAACTTTGAATTATTATGCAATGTGCCCAAACTTTAACCTTTCCCAGATTTTAAACAAAAAACTTCAATTTATTTAGAGTAACAACGATTACCAGTAAGAATGCAGCAATAATACCAAAAATTATCTGAAAACGATACAGAGTACTGCCTAGAAATAACCTAACAAAATGCGCCGTTAAACTAGGTCAAACCTCGGTCTGACACACATTTCTTAAAACGTTTTCGACATGATTATTGTGTTGTCGTTCTCAGCAGTTCATAACATTCCCTTCGGAAGCGAACGGCAACCGCGATCATATTTTTCCCTCGCGGTCCACTATCGGTCGACCGCAACCGAACCGCAACCGCAGTGTTAAGGCTGCTTAAAACTCACGCGTTTTTTATACGCACGTACATGTACGGAAAATTTAAAATGCTTTTAAATTTTTAATATTTAACATCTAGGTCAACTGATACATACTAAAATATGCAGAAAACTAAGTTCCTTCGATTTATTCACTTAGTTAAAGTAACAAGTATAAGGATTTAGACTTTTACGTGCGTGTACGTGCGTATGAAAAACGCGTAAGTAGAAAACAGCCTTTAGGAAAAGTTTGTTCAGCGCCAAGCGCTGGTTACCAAGTTCGGAATTTTATCCCGAGATCTCGGGATTTTTCTTAGCAATTGGGATTCTTTTGGGATTTTTTTTTTGAAGTGCAAATCTCTGGATATTTTCGGGATTTTTAATTACAGTTAAGTAGTCGATATTTCGGTAAACCTGACTAAAAAAAAAATTATCACAAATCTAGTTTTCGTCAAATCGTACTTATTTTGAAGTTCTCTTCAGCTGTATTATTTGATTTCTTGTCGCATTTTGCGCCTTAAACATTGACGCACAAGATTTCATATAACCCAGAGGCCAGAGGCCGGTTGTATAAAACTCTTAATCACCCTTTAATAACTTTCTTGTAGTTAAAATGTCGTTAACTTTAATCACGTAGTTAAGCCAGTTGTATAAAAAAGTAGTTAGCGTTAATCGTAGTTAAAACGTAGTTAAAGTTAATCATCCTCCAGGGCATCGTTAACTTTCCAAATCGTAGTTAAAAATGGCGTCTTGAGCTTTTGAGGAGTGAGAAAACATTAAAATCAACACATACCAAGGTTGTCAATCGTTATCCACTCAGAAAAGGCCCCGTCGAAGCTTGTGAACTTTCAATATGCTTTCATTTTTGTCTTTTGGACAGCAACGGAGTATATTTTTGCTTCGGGAGACGTGTCGATGCCAAATTACGATCCTAGCAAATATTAGCCATCTCCATTTTTAATTGCAACCGGTATTTTGACTCAAAGGGACCTTTTTATATTAAGAGCGCCGTTTTCGTTGAATTATTCAACTTTTACCTTGTTTTATTGCATTTTTTACAATATTTCACATCAAAATACTGTCAATTTTTGTAAATACGAGTCCACAGGCTTGTTCAAAATCAATAACAGCGGTGAATAATTTCAAGATAATTCATGCTATTTCTCTGTTTAACAACCCCACGCAAGCTCCACGCAAGTTAACTACGTGATTAGTTAATCATCTGACAAACTACGTTTTGTGCAACGCAGTTAAGTCGTGTAGTTAACTAATCATAGTTAAGGATTTAACTACAGTGATTAGCGCTAATCATAGTTAAGGTTAACGACGTTTTTATACAACCGGCCCCAGGTGATCAATTTCACATTGTTATTCTCAAAAACAAAACCTGGAGACTTCATATAAATTTGGTTCGTGCCAATGACAAAATACTTCGCATCAGTCCATACCAACCTCAGTGGCAAGAGCATTGCACTGGCATCGCAAAAGCGTAGGTTCGATTTCTGCCGGAGGACCTATAGTTGACTCATTTTTCCTTCAAGTGTTCCTGGCTTGAATTTGAAGTGTGTGTAATTCCACTCGAAATTAAGACCCTTTATACCAGGATTATTTTAATGGTCACTGACTGCAATATGAAACTGGATCAAATACTTCTGGCTTAACTTGCCCTTGTCTTAATTAAAATTAATGTACACAAACCAATCAATATATCAATAATAAATTATCATCGATAACTTTGATCATGAGCTGCTGTCCGATTGCTATAATCCAGTAATACACAACAAATTACAGAAACAAAGTTTTCAGGTGTTTCCATTTTAACTTATAAATGTTAGTAATTCCATGTTAAATTCTTTTGTTTTTTAACTATCATTATAATATAACATTTATAGTGCGCGCGTGCTAATAGACCTTTCTTATAATGACGTCAAACGTGGAAACTATGATGTTACATGAAATTTGATTGGCTCTACAAAACTATCGAGCCAATCAAACTTCGTGTAGCATCATACTTTCCGCGTTTGACGTCATTATAAGAAAGGTCTATTGGTCGAGTTTGGGAGAAATTGGGAGTTTGGGAGAACTCGAAATAACGTATTATTTCTCGTTCCCACAAATTCCCACGCGTGTTTTTATAACTGTACAGAAACACGGAAAATGTTTTCTATTTCCTGAATAGAAATTTGATATGTTTACATATTACGTCATCTCTCGTTTATGTTTGTGATTATGTTAGTCAAAGCAGAAACCACGTTATTTATTCGTGAATCGTGGAAGAATGTTGTCTGACAAAGTCGTTTACGGAAAATTATACGCCAGTGAAGATCTTGATTTAGTTATTTTTCAGTCATAGTATAGCATGGCGCGTATTCCTGTTTATAACTTTCATTTGAAGGCGACAGGAAGTTTGTGGATTGCTCAGACGATGCCGTGCAGTGAAATATTATAAAATGTTTATGTCGCTATCATAATGAGATTATAATTGCAAGTTTAACTTCTCGCTAGCTAAATTGATATTTAAGTATCCACAATGAATAAAATCCGTCAAATATAGCTGAGTGAAATATCACAGGACTATACTATAGCCCAGCATAACATACGAAAAACAGCCACTGATATTATTTATATTACGATTGAGGTTCCCGGCTGGTTCATGAATTGGCACTATACCAGAGAACGAACTTGTATATTTCTTGTTGGATACAGAATAAAAATGTTTTCTTCAAACCAAAGCCACCAAACAAAACAAAACAAATACATATTTTCATGATATCCAGCTGGTTTTAATGATAAAACACAGACAATTGTCATGGCTGTTTGACTCCCATTAAATCGACATTTGCATAGTAGCAGAAAGCTTATTTTACAACCAAGACTAAAAGTCTTTACTAAAAGTCAAGCTTGAGTTGATATTTTAGCGTTAGTTGCTACAAATACTGTGTCGCCGTCTTTAAAATGAAACGAGAGTCAATTATATTAGGTTGAGAACAAGCCAAATTAACAGGGAACATCAATATAATATAATTAGCGAAATTATCGCAGCTTAGAGATAAGAATGAAGGAAGAGAAGAAACGAATGCAAGCCATCGTAGTCACAGACGATAATATTATTCGTTTGAACGTTGGTGGACAAAAATTTACAACTAAAAGATCAACTCTTTGTCAGGTTGAAGGTTCCTTGTTCGCTACAATGTTTAGCAGTGACTGGGAAGATAGTGTCGAGCGTGATCAAGATGGCGCTGTATTCTTTGATTTTAATCCACAATATTTTGTTTATATTTTGGATTATTTAAGAGGGAGGAAAATTGCGACTCCCGAGAATCCTCCACCGTTACCGAAAGTCCCTGAGGAACATGTGGAAAATTTCCGTAGTCTGGTCGAGTATCTTGGCTTTAGTCATGAAATCTTTCCAACTAAGATTGTGACTGACGAGAAATTCAACTTGCACAGCTCAGGAGTTACTCTTGAGGAAGACGGGAAAGTCGCAGTTCATGATGGAACTAAAGAACACAACTATATTTTCAGTGAAAAAATTTACCAACAAGGATTTGCGATCATCAAGTTACAGTTGGAGTTGATAAATAATGATTATTGGGTGTTCATTGGGATAGTTGAAGGAGATGTCGTACCACAAGATGACGATGCATATGAATGGCGCTCGTCATATGGCTGGGGACTAGGGTCCAGTCCTGGCAGAGGGGTGTTCAAAGAAGGTTCATATACGAAGGACAATACTTTATCAGCTCTGACGAAACAAGATGTTAACGAGCTAAAGTTAGTCGTGGATTGCAATGCTGCCAAACTGTTGCTAATTTCACGCAATGGTCATAAATTTCATGTGGATATTCCTGAAAACAAAACCTGGAGACTTTACATAAACATGGTTGGTAGTCTTCACAAAATACGATTAATCCAATGAATTTTCAATCGAAAGACGTCCAGCATTTCTCATATGTATTAACACAGTCGGACTGTTTAGAATGTTGAAACTGTTATATATGCAATATAAGACATTTAGCTTTAAGAGTAGTGTGGTTAAATCAATATACCTATTCTGGAACCAACAAAGCAGTTAATTTTACTTCCAGAATTTATAAGCAAAGTTTGTACGAGAATTACTGAATAAAAACATTGATTGTGAAAAAACATTGATAGTTTTTCAAATGTTTACCAACAAGCAGTGACCCTAAGGCGAAATTCATAGCTTTACTTGTCTTTATTATTTCATAGCTTTGTGTCCGCATCTTGCGCGCATCAGACAACTCTTCCTTCAATCTTTCTTCCTTTATAGTAATGTTCGAATAAATTTCTCAAACCTGGAAAAAAATCTTTCTTCCTTCGTCGCATCAACAACCACAAATATGTAAAATATAATAATCCAAACAATTATCCAAAAAGCTCAAGCCTTTCTCAATGTCTATGTCCACATCAATGTCTGACTCTGAAAACCCGAAATAACGGGATCTAAATTCCGTAAAAATCACAATTTTCCAGCCAAAATGATCTGAAGAACCCAGGCTTTCTGAATCCGCGCGTCAGCAGCCAGGAGTTAGTGAAGCGATTTAAGAATTAATTTGACGAAATTGTCGAAGCTGAGAGGGAAAAGATGAAGGCGGAAGTCGAAGCGTTTAACGAAGACGAGAAATAAATGCAAGCCTTCGTAGTCAGAGACGATGATACATTCATTTGAACGTTGGTGGACAAAAATTTAGAACCAAAAGATCAACTCTCTGTCAGGTTGAAGGTTCCTTGTTCAACAACACGACACTAAGTGAAGGACTGAAATGTATTGTATTTATATAATAATGTCGTGCTGGTTTTCAAAAGACAGAGACAATGGTCATTTTGAATCAATAAAGTCGTATTTGCATCGTAAACAAAAGGCTGAATTCATAATACAAGTCTTTCACTACGAAGTCAAGCTTCACTAGTTATTTTAACGTGTAGACTAATAAAGCTTAGTGCTTACAAATACTGTGTTGCCGTCTTTAAACTAAACTGAAAGTCATTTCTATTGCGTTGACAACGAGTCAAAATGAGCAGCGAAGATTTGTTGACGAAATTCGACGAGTTAGTGAAGCGATTTAAGAAAGAATTTGAAGAGATTATCAAAGCCGAGAGGGACAAGATAAAGGCGGAAGTCGAACCGTTTAAGAAACGAATGCAAGCCTTAGTAGTCAGAGACGATGATATCATTCCTCTGAACGTTGGTGGACAAAAGTTTTCAACAAAAAGATCAACTCTCTGCATGTCAGGTTAATGGTTCCTTGTTCGCTACAATGTTTAGCAGTCGCTGGGAAGATAGTGTCGATCAATATGGCAGTGTATTCTTTGATTTTAATCCACAATATTTTGTTTATATTTTGGATTATTTGTGAGCGAACAAAATTGCGACTCCAGAGAATCCTCCACCATTACCTAAAGTCCCAAAAGATCACGTGGAAAATTTCTACAGTTTGGTTGAATATCTTGGCTTGAGTGATGAGATTGTTCAACCTGAGATTTTGTTTGACGAGAAATTAAACTTGCACAGCCCAGGAGTCACTCTTGAGGAAAATAGGAAAGTCGCAGTTCATGATAGAACTACTGGACACAAATATGTTCTTGGTAAAAATATTCACCAACAAGGAATTGTGAATCTTAAGTTGAAGTTGGAGTCGTTTAAAGATAATTATTGGATGTTCATTGGAATAGTAAAAGAAGATGTCCTACCACCTGATGGCTATTCGTTTAAATGACCTGGTTCATATGGCTGGGCACTTGGGTCCAGTGGAAATCAAGGAGTGTGGAAAGAAGATTCACCCACGAACGACTATAATTCACGAAATCTGACCAAACAATGTGACGAGGTGAAGTTAACATTAGATTTTGACGCAGCCAAACTGTCGCTACATTTGAGCACTGGTCATCAATTTCACATCGATATTCCCAAGAACAAAACCTGGAGACTGAATGTAAATTTGCTTGGTGCAAATAACAGAATACGTATTATCAATGAATAGTCAAAAAAAAGACTTTGGTTCAATATCAGAGAGTTTGTCAAATGAGAACGGCAACGATAGAAAACAAAATCTTTTATATTTTTGTATTGTCTTAGACAACCTTGAAATAGTAATAATCCAAGAATTCACATGAAATAAAGTATTTGTGTCCAGTTTCTTATTGCGGTCAGTGATGCGCGCAACTAATTGTAATATATCATGATGATAACATACCAGGATTATTTCAATGGGCATTTGAAATTGTTATATAAATATGACTTATTTTGTAAACATAGCAAGTCTTGTAATATAATCGAAAACTTTGGTTTAACTACATAGATCTTAGCCGCTTTGGTTAAAAAAATTGCACATATTTGCTCATACTGGCAAAGCTTTTTACTTATTTGTAACTCCTTGAAATCTGTAGTTCGACAGCTGAAAAGCTTGTTTACTACGATTTATACCAGTGAATATCTTGATTTGATCATGGTTTCTTTCTGATATAGGATCGCGCACATATTTGTGTTCAGAAATTCTATTTGGATTTATCTTAAATTTCTATGAAACTAAAGTCAAGTGTTCATATCAGTTCAATAAGCGCGCGAGTTAGTGACCACAGCGCTCTATCACTAAACAATAATATACCGACATTTAGAGTTTTTATTTGTTATGTTGTGTTTCCCAGTTCATAGCTTTACATGTCTTTATCATTTCATAGCTTAGTGTTCGCATCTTGCGCGCATCAGACAACTCTTCCTTCAATCTTTCTTCCTTCGTCCCAACAACAACCACAAATATGTAAAATATAATAATCCAAACGATTATCCAAAAAGCTGAAGTCGAGATCAATGTCTGACTCTCAATCCCGAAATGACGGGGTTTAAATCCCGCAAAAATTTACAATTTTGCCGCCAAAACGATCGCAAGAACCCAGGCTTTGCGAATCCTCGCGTACTTTTTAACATCACGCATGGCATAACCATGTTACGACGCTTTATATACACAGGTCGCTGGCGCATTCAGTCATTTTTTTAGTAAACAATATCGCGCCACGCATATTTGCTCAAGGCAAAAGTGACGAGGTTTTTAAAACTTTAGAAATAAGATCCAGGACAAAATATAGTGCAATATTTTGAAGAGACTGAACCAGTGTGAACTAGAAATGTTTTAGAAATGTTCTATATTTTGCGAGAAATAATAGAATATAAGATGAAAACTCATGTTTTTATCTCGTGATTGTATTATGAAATACCAGCCTAACGTGACACCTGATACTTGCTGACCTCATTTCAATCCACGTCTTATGACATTCCATAGATAGGATTTACGTAGGTATAGGATTAAGATTATTGGAATTAGTGTTAATCCATGTATTCTGGGTATGCGATTATTACCAGACTATAATCAACATTGATTTAGTATTTTGTTACGTGCTTACAAATACTGTGTTGCCGTGTTTAAACTGAATTGAAAGTCATTTCTATTGCGTTGAGAACGAGTCAAAATGAGCAGCGAAGATTTATTCACGAAATTCGACGAGTTAGTGAAGCGATTTAAGAATGAATTTGACGAAATTATCTGAGAGCTGAGAGAGCCAAGATGAAGGCGGAAGTCGAAGCGTTTAACGAAGAGAAGAAACGAATGGAAGCCTTCGTAGTCAGAGACGATGATATCATTCCTCTGAACGTTGGTGGACAAAAATTTTTAACAAAAAGATCAACTCTGTGTCAGATTGAAGGTTCCTAGTTCGCTACAATGTTTAGAGGTCGCTGGGAAGATAGTGTCGAGCGTGATCAAGACGGCGCTGTATTCTTTGATTTTAATCCACAAAATTTTGCTCATATTTTGGATTACTTAAGGGAAAAGAAAATTACAAGCAGCGAAAATGCCCCATCGTTACCTGACTTCCCAGAAAGTCAAATGAAGCGGTTTTCCAGTTTCGTCGAGTATCTTGGCTTGAGTGATGAAATATTTCCAACTCAGATTGTGTCTGACGAGAAATTCAACTTGCACAGCCCAGGAGTCACTCTTGAGGAAGACGGGAAAGTCGCAGTTCATGATGAAACACGGGAACATAAATATGTTCTTGGTGAAAATATTTACGACCGAGGAATTGTGAGTCTTAAGTTGAAGTTGCAGACGTTTAAAGATAATAATTGGATGTTCATTGGAATAGTTAAAGAAGATGTCGTACAACCTGATAACTATTCATATGGATGGCCTGGTTCATATGGCTGGAACCTCGGTTCTAATGGCGGTCAAGGAGCGTGGAGAGAAGGTTCAGTTACAAGAAACAAACGTTTAGAAAATCTTACTAAAGAAGGTGACGAGGTTTCCCTAATCATAGATTTTGATGCAGCCAAACTGTCGCTACATTTGCCCACTGGTCATCAATTTCACATCGATATTCCCAAGAACAAAACCTGGAGACTGAATTTAACTTTGTACGGTGAAAATGACAAAATACGTATTATTAATAAATAAACAAATAAAAAATTTCAATATCAAAATTGAATCAATATCACAAACTGAATGCAAATTTGTAAGGTCAGAATGACAAAATATGTACATATTATGAATAATAATGTAATTAAGAATTTTGAGAATCTTCAACATTACAACAGTCAGAATCGTAGATGACGACTGTTATTTTGAATACAAAACACTTACGTTTAGTTTTGAGACAAAGATCTCAACCGTGAATGCAAGGATTTCGGAATGGTCGGAACTTCCACTTAAATAAGACTTTGATTCCAGTGTTTTATACTCAGTGATATTATGCATAAAACATTTAGATAAGTAAATTATTGTTTGACAATGAATATAGTGAATTTGTGTGCTTCAAATTAATGCTGAATGTAAAAACCTTTTTAAATTAAACTGATGATCGGAACAGCCTATGAACAGACTCCGTATTGTTAAATTTCTCCTGTTCTTTAGATTATTTTCCAAAGTTTTCTAATAGTTTTACGAGAGTTTGCGAAATGAAAGTTAAATTGCTAACGGCCTTACTAAAGTACAAACTTTTGTCTCAGCTAATGAGAATGTTGATGCTTACCAATTCCACTCAGTCAGATTTCGCGCATGCGCATAACTAACAATGACCATCCAAGGTCAACAGGCCATG